GCTTGAATGTTGCCATCTGTTTTCTTCAGCACATCAGCTATTAGCATCATACCCAGCCAGCATGAATGTGCTTGATTAGAAGTGCCTTTTCAACCTTCCCTGAACACTAAACTCTATCTTGCAACAATTTGGAATGACAAGCAGTCTCTGTTGTACAGTGACAAGATTCATCTATAGATTTTGACAACTCTCCACAACAAGAAACTGGACCACAGCTTGATCTGTTTTGGCAGATTCAATATTAATGCAGCCCTTGTTTCCTTCCTGAGCACTGCAAATCCACTTACTGGACTAACACACTGTTTGGAGATATAAATCATAAATGGACTGTCCCAACCATAGAGATTGCTACAATATGTACAGAATGCAATGACTTGACTTCCTGATGCCAACTCTCAACTTTTGGCTCACACAAATAGATGATCAGAGTTATCAGAACATATTTATGCAATAAGTAATAAACTGCAATTTAAAACTATTTTAAAAATATAATATATATAAAATCAAACCCCATTATTACATTATTGGTTTATGTTAATGAAAAGTAGATTTGTGAGGAAGGATAGGCATTTTCAATGTTAATGAGTTTGGTTAATACAAATTTCATTAATAAAAACTGCCAATTTTAAATCCCTTCAACTTTGTATTAATGTGATTTGACTGTCTGTATATAATTTGAATAAGTTGCAATTAACATTTATTTACATTGACTTGACAACCAAAATTATTAAATTTGTTGCCAAGTTAATCTAAATGTTAATTGTTAAATGAAATTGAATAAAAACATCTCAGAATAATACAAAATAATATCTGCAGGTGATGACTTATGTAGATTACATCATTTCATTCTAAGTTTCCAAACGTTTGGCCATGACTTACATAAAATGTAAGTACTGATTTTATTCAATAAATACTATTTTAAACTAAATAGATACTATTTAAAACTGCATATTTTCTCTGTGGTTGCTACTCAAATGAGTTATTTTATTCTTTACACAAACCTGTTTGAAATCTATTATTAATAAAATATTTAAATATTCATATTTTAAAATGGCAACTGATAACTTTTCTTTATAATGAGAATTAATTTTATATATACCAGTAATAAGATAATTATCATACTTATCATACATTTTACATATTTCATTTTCTATTAAAGTTGGTAGGTATAATATTTATTAAACAAACAAACTGTAGTTGATGATATTCATTTATTTTACATTGCTTTCTCAAGTTTTCATAAATCCTCAAATAATAGATGTAGTAATATTCAAGGATGGTTACTATTCAAATGAAACTGGTAGTCATAGACAGATTTCTTTAACAGGTAAGTCAACAACTTTCAATATTATTGACTTATTTAATTGATTATAAACTATATACAGTGCTCTCATTAATCTGGTCTTTAATAATATGACATACCCCAATTGATCACATATGTGCTTCTGTTTTCATTAAAATCTGTCATATCACACACCATTTTCCTGTTTACTCAGGTTTCATTTCTGTATTCAGTCCTGCACATCAGTATGTCATATTTGCCCACCTGCCTCCAAAAAAAAGAACAGTATTGAAAAGTAACAGTTCAATCATTCTGTTGCCTTTAGGCCTATGCACTATTAGTAATTTGCCACTCTTGCTAATCTGACTCCCCCTTCGTGGAAAGAGTGGCCAAATTAGCAAGAGTCTAGAAAATTTAAGAACTTCTAAAAAATTGCCTCTTAAATAATAAATATAAAATATTTATACAAAAAAAATTATTTTCAAATAAAATTTATATGCAGATCATCAACAACTAATATTTTAAAAATTTCTTCAAAGTGTAATAAAAAATATAATTTGGATACTATATAATAATGTTTACTATTTTTGTTTATACTACATCAGTATTTTGTAAAAACAGAACTGAATTTCTTGGAATTGTAGTAATTAAAGTACCCTATTCAATACTGTCTAGAGCAGGCCTGGCCAACATGTGGCCTTCCAATGATTATTACTCATACTATAATTAAAAATCCAACATATACATCACCATAATGCATTCAAATCGCGACAATTTATTAAAATTATTGATGACATACACCTTTGTGTGAAACAAGCATTATCTTTCTGTATATTTAAATCAAACATGTATGTTTAGGCCTATATACTGTAGATAAATAAATATTGCCATTAAAAAAATTATTTAAGCATTGTCATTACAAGAAAGTTACTTGTAAATGGCAACCTTACTTCACTGTACAAACATCTTAAGACATCAATTCTCTTTGCATAAGCAAACAATGTCACAGCTACATTCTGGATATAAAAGTAGACACACCTGTTGAATATCAATCTTATCAGCTATACCATCAACTTGCCAGAACACACTTTTATACACAGAGTATCTTGTACAAATAAAATGCTTGTTGCTTCAGTAAGTGTCATAGTGACAAGTTTTGGTACTAATTTTCTTCTATGGAAAGTTCTTATCATCTTGAAATGTCACTATACCAGATTTGGATGCAATTTAATTGTTAAAACTCTTTCTAAAGAGCATTGAGTACTTTAATTACCATCATCTGGTATGAACTATAAATCATTCATCATCATCATCATCATCAATCTATCTGATTTAGAGAAGGGAACAAAAATTTCTCATCTAATTTAAATAATATACTGAGTGATAGCAATATAATGGATGTCTAATTGAGCAATAATTACTATTGTATCTTAAAAGTTATAACTAAACTTAGAAAAAAAGATTTATATTTAAATGAATGTGAATAAAATAAAGAGGACAAGTCTAACAATATCAGTTATAAGAGATGGAACTAATGCTATAAATTCCTTAATAATTTATTATTATTATTGCCTTACTGTCCTTATTTAATTTCTTATTATATATTTGTCAATGTGGACATTAATCATTAACAGGACAATTATACTGGTATTAAGCATTTACACATGAATTGAGGAAAACATTCTTAAAGAAAACAGACTTTCTTTATTAAGCTACCTGTGTAAATGCTTAACACCAGTATAATTGTCCTGTTAATGATTAATGTATACGTTGACAAATATATCATAAGAAATCCTTCATAATTTGTTAATACCTATACAAGCTTCACTAAAAAATGTTACTATTACTCTGTAATGATGAGAAACTACAAATTTTAATTTTTTTTGTTTTATCCAAGTTTTGTAAGGCATTGTTTTGCTATAAACAGCTTACTGTGAAGTCTAGTAACCTGGCATAAACCTTGCTGAAATCACTAATGTTAAATTAAAATACAATTGTTCTTTTGTGTAAAAAAACAATTCTGTCAACAGGCTTAAAACAATGTGTTTGTCTTATGTCCTAAACAAACTGTTAACAGAATATTAAAAATTTTGTTTTATGTGATGATTATAAAATAATTATAAAGCTCATAACAAGTTAATTATTAGAATGATATTTGTATTAATTATTTAAAAAAACTAAATTATCTAACACTCAAATTTTAAAATATCAAAAATTCCTTGAATGTGTTAATTTCTATATCTTATATAGATATGTTTCATAAATCCAAAATAATATAATTTGGTAAAAAATTAACAATAAAATATTAACAAATAGAAGATTAGATATTTTGTAGATTTTGTTAAAATTCTTTTGATTCTAAATTTTCAATTACCACTTTGTCCTTATTAAAAGAGCCTGCTAGAATTAAGCATGTTTTGAAACATGGGTTTCTATTACAACCATTATTTAATCTGTATTTTTTTCTCCTGGTTTTAAGACAACTAACAATTTGGATTTAATGTTCTCTTACAAAAAAAAAAGCATTAAATCCTGATTGTTTTCCCTTTTTTTTTTCGGAAAAATTACTACAATTTGGTGCTGACTATTGCTGTGATTATTGTATTGTAGAGCCATTTCTAAAGTTAATGAAAATATTGTAGAAAAAGTCAGAAAACCAAGAAACTTTAAATTCATTGGGATGTTCTATTTACTGTATATTAAAATATCAATTTCTCAGCAATAAAACACAGTATCACAAAGAAAGTTCTATTAAAAGTTTCAACCAAAGAAATAGAAAAACAGGGTACAGGTGAGTTCTAATAGGGACAATACAGTAACATTAAAATTGAAATCTAGCAAATTCCCAAATTAAATCCTTCATTCCATATTTTCAAAAAATGACTGGCATGCCACACACAAACAGGGGAGACCAGCTTGCCAAAAACCCTGGGGTTAACAGCATGCCAGTTAAACTGCAACTAAATATAAAATTAATCAGATCTAATAAAACTTGTTAATTAACATTAAAGAAACAAATTCTTTCCACTACAATAAAATAACATTGTAATTTGAATGACTTAAAATCAGGAAAAAAGTTTTATTTAATAAAACAATTAACAACTTATTGACAGCAGCAGCAGCAGGTCAATCAGTGAGGACTACACTGACCATTTACCTTGACCTTAAAAATAACACCTTTCTCTCAAATTTTACACCAAGTGTATGTTAAGCCCAGATAATTTACAGCCAGTTTCTTAAATTTAATGCATTTATTTTTGCATTTTTAAATCCAATAATAAAATACACACAGAAAAAAGCACTTTTGGAATTCGAGTATTTTACATTATTAGAAAGAAGACAAAATGAAAAAATTAAACATATAATTGTTGTTTTTGATGTAATGCTGAGTTTCACAGTTTTAGAATAAAAATTTGTTCATTTTTTAACATGCCCTCTTGAGATGGTCTATAACATCACTTAAACTGGCATGCAGGCATTCCCCCAGGATAAATTGGCATGCCCATTTTTACATATAGAAATATCTGATTTTATGGTCTCCCTGGATAGACTGACATGCTGGCCATTCCACAAAAATACAGGATTAAATCTTGTTAATATTTATTATATGCAAGAAAACATTAAAGTTAACTTATCAAAGTAATATTATTAAACATTAACATTTCAATAATTCTAAAACTTTTGTTACAAATAAAATTAAATACTAAAGTAATCTTACCATTATTTATTGAATGACATGAATTACTGTTTCCTGTACTCATATTTACAGTTCTGATTGTAGAATTTGATTCCTGTCCTTGTAAGGAATGAATTGGCAATGTTCTGCAACCTAAAGGTGATATAGAATTTACATAAGTCATGCCCTGATTTAAGATACGATGATCATCTAGTTGAATTCCTCTATTTGTCCAATTAGGCATTGATTGGGAACTATGCAACGTAGATAACTGTACAGTAGGTCCAAAATTTCTGTGGAGTATGCTAACAGGGCTTTGAAGAGGACTCTGTGAAAAATTTCCAGGTGGAGATGATCTGGATATATTATCAACACATAACTGTACATCTGTATCTAATTTAGCATTTACATGACTTGGCGGTAGACTATGAGAAGACTGTGACTCATAATGGAGATTATCGCAATATTTACCCTGAGTTGCCCCATCCGAATCTCTTTGTATATTAGCATTGTTTAATGAAAAACCATTATCACAACATTGATTTACAGAATCAATGGAAGAATTATTTGAATTTACAGTTGCATTTTGACTTTGGCATATTGAACTGGGAGAAACTGTATTTCGAGATGTCATATCTTCCCTACTGCTACTTCTATTATATGATCTTGAACTATTTGATTTCTGTGAACCTCTGTCTGAAGAACTGTCTCTTACATTCCTGAAAGAAAAAAAATAAATAAATAAAATTAGATTTATCTTAGCAGATATTTTACTGAAAACATTTAAATAATTTTGATATTAAAATAAGCTTTAATTGCAAATTACATTTTATACTAACTATACAGATATTAGCTGAGTAGTATATTTAAATAGTGTAGTTTTCATAAATAGTAGTTATTGATTTTTCTAAACCATTTTCTTCCATTTCATTTTATACATAATTACTTAAAAATATTAAACACATTTACCTTTTTTGATACAGAAATATATTCTTAGCTAGTATATTGAATATTTTATTTCTTGTAACAAATTTTCAATTCCAATTCAAGGTGAAATTTCAGCACAAAAATTATGAAACAGATTTAAAGGGCACAGGTAATGCTCACATAATTAGTGAAACAATACAAAATATGAGACTAAAATCTTTGCACAAGAAAACTAAATTTAAACATTAACAAACTGTAGAAGTAATTTTCAAAAATTTAATATCTGTAATACAACATTTTAATTATATTTTCAGTCACAATTTAAAGTCTCAAATTAATTAGCAAAGTCAAATGCCATCTATTAGCAAAAAAATTTTTTTATAATTTTGCAACAGACTTATTAAAAGAATTAATTATTATAATACAAATGAAAAAATTGAACGGCTATATTAAATTTATTCAATTGTGTAAGTGAAAATCATGATAAAAACAACCAAATTTTCAATCATATATGATATTTATATTTTTTGGAAGTGCATTTTATTAGCTTTCTTTTACAACTTTTTCATAAGTATATGTATCCTTAACTATTTGTTAAGCATATACAATTTATTCCACAATAAAAATACAGCTATTATGGAACTATCAGATCTTTTCTAATATTCTTTATTATAAGAATCATATAAATTATACTTTGTAGTAGTTTCCTATCATGCAATCATCAGTCTGTTTATATGTAGACACTCAGAGCCGGCCCTACCATAGGGCGAAAGGAGCAGCCGCTCCAGGCGCTAAGTCCTAGGGGGCGCCTCAGTGGTAAAGAAAATTAAAGGATATAAATTTGGGGCAACCAAGGGCAGTGGCGTAGCGAGGGGGTGCAAGGGGGTGTATCAAGCACCGGGCGCCACTCGCAGAGGGGCGCCCAAATGGTCTCCAAGACAAGCTATATGTGTTTCTGGAGGGGGCGCCAATAAAGTGTCGTGCCCCGAGCGCCAGTTATGTTCGCTACTGACCAAGGGGGCGCCATCATAGGATCTCGCTCCATCCTAAAACTTGCCTCGGGCCGGCACTGTAGACACTAAGTCACTGTTAACAAAAAATTTTTCTTCCAATTATTTGAAGACAATCAGCTAAATGTTATCTATCCTGTTTTAAGCACATGTTTTGTATCTGTTGCATCTGTCAACTGCAGCATATAACTCCATTAACTTCTCATTATTAATTTTAAATACAGGGTGATTCCAAAAAATTTTATAACATTATTTTAAGGTTTTGTTTCAATGTCCTTAAAGAATATTAAATATTAAGAAAAAATTTATATTCTTGTATATTTTTAATTATTATTGTATTTCTAAGAGAATAAGTAAGAAATATGTACACTAATGGAATTTATCACAAAAAATGGTGTTACATTTTACAATAGACTTCTATTAAACTAAAATGTTATAAATTATTATTATTAAAATTTGAACATGAAATAACACTAATGATATCACTGTTCTGTATGTTAATTTACTACAACATGCAGCCCTATAATGACATTTTGAATAAAAATTTTTTCCAGGCAATTGCATTTTAGATTCTGGCATCTGTTTTGGCACTTCACTAATCCTTGTACAGTACTAGATTGTTCAATTGTTGCTGACCTGAAAGACACTTCTTTATCTAGATACATCATTTAACAATCTTGAGTACAACTGTTTCAGACCAGCTTGTTTGGTTCCAAGATGATATAATCCATCATTCATCAAACTTATTACAATAGCCAAAATTTTGCAAGAATCCTCTCTACTTTCATATACTACTAAGACTGGAATACACTGTAGGAATTTGTTCACTGGACAGGAACTTGTTTTCAAAGAGCCTTTTCATTTTCTTTGCCTGAAATTCCAGATTTATTTTAGACTGTCAGCATCTAACACCTTTCTTATTTTAGAAGCAAAGAAGAAAGTAACAGGTGGACCAAATCCATCTTCACACACATCAGAATTTTCAGATGGCTTCAATGTTTCATTTGCTATCTGGGCACTGATGAGCATTACTAGTTGCTTTTAAACAGACAGCAATTGAAGCCTTGATTTTTATATTCCTGGGTTGAAGCTGAAGCTTTTAGGGATTATGCTTTCAAATTGCAGTTAATTCATTTGCAGTTGTGTTATCATTTAATCTCTCTTTATACTCACTGTTCTCATCATTAATGAAATCTAAAATGTCTTAATTATTCATTTTGCAGCATTCAACACTTCTTGTGGCAAAGATGAAGTGTTCAAACTTCCCTTTATTTTGAAGCTAAACAATTGCTTTATATAGAGGTATTTCAATACCTGAATAATAAAATCTTTTCTTTACTGGATGAGCCACATACCTTCACTCTAAAGATGATTTTTTCTTGCAATCAATGTGATCATATTTTCTATATCTTAGTTTGTTCTTTCAATGCTTTCTTGGCTTTGATTATGTCAGATTTTTACATGCACAATTTTCAGTTGAGGCCAGTAATCTTCAAACTATAGATGATTTTGTTCATAAACTCTTCTGTTATCTGACTGAAGTATTGCTAGAGCAGAAAGAAGAGAAAAATATGTCAAAGAAATGATATGCTATTTCCCCCAGCTCTCTTAGATTTAAGAGTTCTTAATGCTACAAACTTTGTTAAGTGGTCCTGATAAACCAAGATATGCCTAAATTTACCATCAGGATGAGTTTTGAAATCTATCAGGTCCACTTGACAACAAGAATTAAATTCTAATTAAATCAGTGGTTTCACTACAATTACTTTCTTGCAACCTTTCTGTTTCTGTTCACAAAACTAAGAAAATTTCTGTATCATGCTGAATAATATTAGCATATTATACTTAGTTGATAGCTCTTTCAGCATCTTGTCTACCATGACCAACAGAAACATGAACCTCAAAGTACACTGAGTAATGCCATCTGAAATGTCTAACTGCAGTTTCCTTCTTCTATTAACTTAATCAATTTGTTTTTCTTGCACCATTATTATATTGTACTTATTTAATATCCAATAAGGATTAGGTTTTACTTCTCTTACTAGTTTGTAATACTTCTTGTCTCAAGACAAATGCTGTTTTGTGCAGTGATACAGTATATTTCTCTAATTTAATGTAAAACAATTGCTTTATAATTTTTTTATGAGTATTTTGCACAATATCCATATTTAAAGCTCACAAAATCCAACTTGAATTTGAGATACTGCCAAAAAACTTTGGTCCATTAATGGTAATTATTTTAATAATTAAATTTTAGGCAGCTTTTAGGCTAAACCTAGCCAATAATTAGCTATTAAATACTTAATTTTAAAATTTATTTTCAACTGAAAATGGATAAGCTTAAGGAAATTGATTTCAAGATGGATATGTACACTGTTCATTTAAATTTCACTAGCAGAGAATCTGGCATTCATACTTTGCAATTATTTTTAGGCATTCTATACAATTCCTGAATTTCATATTTTTCCAGTAGTATGTATAATAATTATAATTTAGTCAAATGTTATTTGAATTTTAATTTTAAGATTATTATTTAGTAAATTATTTTATCAGGAATCTCTCAAATATTTTTACATATAATCACAGATAATATAGGATATTTAAATTTAACAATTAGTGTTTCTGAAACTGTATTCAAATCAAGAGTTTCACAACCTTGCAATCTTACCCTAATTGCATTTATTTAGGTATGCATGCAGGCATAAATTTTAATACACTCAGATATCTGATTGATTTTAATTTTAAAATAATTAACTGAAAAATTACAATCACATCACCTCAAAATTAAATAGGAAAAAAAATATCATTTAAAAGACAAACTACATACTGATATTTCTTTTTAAATATTTATAAATGTAAAAAAATAATTGTTCCTATTTTATCAGCTTTAATCTTCAAATAATAATAAAATACGTTTTTTTGTATAATTGTTTTTTTTTAATTATTTCAGATCATTCAAAAGGTCCTAGTTTTTTTCTACAATTATTAATATTTTAAAATATTTAATAAAAATCAAATGCTAGCAGATGAATTATTTTTATTAAACCTATATCAAAACTATTTCATTTTTTCTAATGAATAAGCTATGTTACAAATGTTCATAGATATTATAGACATTTAAATGTTATGTTTAACTTACCCTTTATAAAAATCTTCTCCTGAAGAATGTCTGTTTTTATTATTTTGGCTGTTACTTTTCTGTTCATTTTTATGATTAGTTACTGCATGTGAATTCAAAATTGTTTCATTTAATCCATTTGGTCTGTTTTCTATCTTTCCAAGTTGTAATATCGGCCAGCCTTCTTTTTGGTTAGTTTGAATTGTACAAGATTGATTAGTGGGAGATGAAGTGTTTTTTCTGAAGTAGAAATGAGAATAATTTCTTAATATAAAATATTAAGAAAAAAGGACAATTAATATTAAATACTTATTACACTTTACAATGCAACTGAAGTGATTTATAAACTGTAAAGAAAATTTTAAGTTACTCAATAGTCATAAAATATTAGAAAAGATCTTTTTGAAAACTACATCCTTATGCAGTTTATTTTAAAAACTTTTAATACTATCATTTAAATTCCTTTAAGAAAAATATTTAAAAACAATTTCAGAGATCAAAGAAAACACACACAAATTAGAAATATTATATGAAAAGAAAATAACTGTTGCTTCATAAAAATATTAAGAATCTATTATATTGATTAATTGAAAAGTATTAATATGAAAACGTTTATTAAGTGAAATAGTTATTTCAAATTTCAATTCCATTAATCTGACAACTTATATATACAGAATACACTGAGGTGAAATTATTTCCATTTCATTAAATACTTGATATATAAGACTTAAATGTATTTTATATGCATTTTCAGGATTATTTAACATAGACAAGCTCTATTGCATCTATTTTATCATTTAATTTCATTAAAAATAATTAAAAGTGAAAGTATGCCCAATTTTGTTCTTGCTATAATGGTATTCTTCCCTGCCATTCCAGCTATTGAACTATCCCCATCCAGTATAAAGATGCTTTTGAACTCTTACTGTTACACAAAAAACAAATTCAATGTTGTCAACTTAATTTGCATATAGAAAACAACAACTATGAACATATTTACATGAATTGTTGTATATGGATAAATTTTCATAAGTCTTAAATATACTCATATATATGTTTCTTTATTTTCTCTATTTGTAATTTAACAATAATTTTTTACAAAAAAATATTTCGTTAAGTACAACTAATCAAAAGGTGATGCATGACCAAAAACAAATACTATCTACAAAATTATGCAAAGTTAAAAATTGTTAAAAATGAAACATCTTCCAATGTATCAAAGTTTACAGTATTTTTAGCACACACACATGATGGTCAGAAAGTGATTTAACAAACTCAATATGCTTCAGAAATTGCATAATTGAGGGATCTAAGTAATAATTGAATATGTAAAATTTACAGTAGCTTACCTATTAAAATTATAGTTAATAATAATAATAATAATGTTTCAAACGGAAGCATTAGAATTTAAAACAGCATATAAAGTAATGCAAAAAAATATATGAAATTACACACATCTTGATCTAAACATGACAATAATATTGTGAATTAAAGTTGGTCAGGCCATTAGTCTGCCCATTCTGAGTTAGCTGATAGTAGCACAAGAACTTCTAGTGCAGTAGTCTTGGATATTTGTAGTGACATGCAAAGAAGTGGTTTTATGCAGTTATTCCATGTTTTGTGAGATGGCTTTGGTGTATTTGTTTCAAATTCCACAACTGTTCATAGTTGTCAATTCAACTTCAGTTTTTGTCACTTATTTAACTTTGTCTTCAAACATGGTGAAGTTATGCATAGATTAATTTAATCCAAAATTGATGTAATGTGTCAGCAACATTGCAGTCATTCATGTAATAAATTTTCACATTTTTTTTTAGCTGTATTGTTTTAGTGCAAGTTTCATTCTAAATTATGTTGACTGGGCTATTATATTTAATCCATAATGGACAGCCTCTCATTTCTTTAATTCATGGCTTTAATTTCATCAGTTAAAATAATGTAGTAGTACTATAAAATATTGTTAAATTAATTAAGTTCAACAAGTAAAACAACATTGGCCAATAGTAGGAAAGGTTAGTAGCTTGACCTATTTTTAAATCTAGAGAGATCTTTCTAAAATGCTAAATGATATTTTCTAAGTGCTTCTATTCGAAATGTTTAAGTAATAATACTATTAATAGTACCAATAATGCAAAACCTACTTTTAATTCACATATCTTGAACACAGGCAGAATAATGCCTGGGTATCAATTTTCAGTTTACATCTCTCAGTTGTAACAATTTCTGCAACATATTCACTCAGCAAATATTTAAATTAAATGAAAAAATTTCTGATGCAGCATTGATATAAAGAAAAATCATCTTTGTCTAATTTATTATAATATTTTGATTAATTTGAACAACACTACCTACAAAATTAAAACAAAGTTCTTTCTAGCACTGATAAATTAAAAGTTTATTACATTTCTGATCATTTCTGATTTAAATTTAGAAAAAACTAACTTTCTGAGCTAAATTTAGAAAAGTAATTGAAAGTAAATAAAGTATCAATAACTAACAACTGTTTACTAATTCATGCCACAATCTACAAAGAAGTTAAAAATACAATTAATAAAGAATTTTCAGAATTAAAAAAAAATGAACGATTTCTATGGTAACAAAACATTAGTTTCAATTGCTTCTTGTTCTCAATTTAGTTCTTTGGAAGTAAAGCATAAAATAGCTATGAATAAGTTCTCCATAGCAATTTTAGCTTACTTCCAAATAACACAAAACATGCTTGTGGAACCTATAAAAGAGAGAGAGAAAGAGTTAGTTCAAATTTAAAACATTTGAATTTTGTGTTCCCCTATATAATTGGATGACAGTGATATTTCTCACAAACTGTACATGCACACAAAAAGAATTACTGTTGAGATAGCAGAAACAGACTACAAGTCATTTGGAAAAACAGTACTTGCAATCATGCAAACAAGCTATGAAGTTTATAAAGCACTTTAATCCAGAAAATGGTCAAATCTGCAAAATATATAGAAAAATCATAAATGTATATTTTATATGCATTACCAAACAATCTTAATTTATCTATTTTGACCCAAATAGTGATTCTATGATGATGTCAAAAGTGGAGCATTTAACAAAACCATGTACGTGCATCTAATAACTAATGAAAAATCAAAATCCAGATCAGATTCAAAATCAGATCTTCCTGCCCTTACAGTAACAAGAAATTTTTTGCAGCCATCCAGCCAATGTATTTATGATGAAATTTCAAATAATAGCAGTATTAACTGGAAATGTAAGTTATATAATTTCAAAAATATTCATTCATAGAAAAATTCTTCATATCCATATAATTGTCAATCAAATAATATTCTTTCTTTCAATAAATTTTCTTACAATAAGTTTTAAAAAAATGTGTGCATGCATGTGTGAACACAGTTAATAGCTAATCAATCATCAGCATACTGATTTTATTTTATAAATATTTTGCACCTTAAATTTGTAATACACTAACATCATTTTTAAAATTTTTCTGCAATAATTCATATGATACAAAATAAAGCTAAAAATAAAATTATTATTAAATACTCAACATTCAATTTAAACATTTACAATAAAAAAGTAAATTATTTTAAAATGTTTTATAATTTTCCAGAAAATAAAAGCATTTACCTATTTATACTACCACCAACAATCTGTTCATGTAATTTTTTTTCATAATCTTGATGTTTCCTGAAAAATATAATTTTTAATTATTAGAAATATCAAAATATAATAATGTATAATATTTTTCAAAAATCTGTGTACTTAATAACAGTTATCATTTTAAAAATATTAAATTCACATTGAAATTATCACTACATAAATTATTAAGTTGTGCAATGTAGATATTACACACAGTACTATTGTTTTATACAACACAACATTACATGCAATATATTACTATACTACAAAAATATTTTCTTAAGTAAATATATGTAAGAAATTAATATCATGAATTTAAACAAAGATTTAAAAATCAGGTTATTTCATTAACCTAAATTAAAAACTCAAAAAAATTAACAACAAATTATTCAAAGTGCCAAATCAAATGTTTAATATTTTTGATTCTTTATCTATTCATAAAATTTGTTATATCATTCCACACATACTAGACTATTTTATAATTAAAATAATAGTAATATTCTAGTAAGTTTCTTAAATAGTTTAATACAATAATACCCAACTGTATATCAGATTATGTTCTTAACAAATGCATTTTGACTAAAACAGCATTATACAAAATTATATGAAGATGCAATCTTGATTGTGTTAATATTGGATAATGAATATAATTAGCATAGAAAGTATTAAAAACGATTAATACAAAAATGTGTCTTAATTAACAAATAATAAATATTGAACAGTGGCATGAATAACAGTAAACATTTAAATGAATAGCCAAATCATAGTATTCCTCATACTTTGGCTGCTTCTTGAAGAATTATCTAGAGTCAATTTTTTTTCCCACTTCTTAAACAATTCTTAGTAGCAAGAAAATACTTCTCTGTCTGGATATTTTGATCTCAGCTAAGATTGAACACAAAAAGAATCAGTAATAGCCACACATTCTTGTATGCAATAAGTATTAGGACTACCAAAATTTAAGATTATTATTAATCATGGATGTTCTTATTTTCTTCTATTTCTTTATTTAAAAAATTTTTTGAGAGTCTATAGTCCCATAATTCCCCTTAGCTATGCAAATGACAAGAATTTATGCATGATATAATAGTCATAGAGCTTTAATCAATAGAAATAAAGCAGTGCTCAGATATGAGTATACACATGTAAAACATTTAAACTGAATTGCAGGCAAACATAGCCATCTGCATCTTCTCTCAACAAGTTAATGATATTTGGATTAATGAGTTATAAATTTTCACTATTTTTTTTTTTAACTAAATATAAGAGTTCCTGATGCAAGAAATAATAAATTAGCCATAAATGGAATAGTGCTGAATAATAATTAAATATTGGGCTAAACTTAAATTTTAAATCATTTATTTAAGATTCTATGCATGGAAATCTATAACTCTTTTAAATAAGTTTCACAAAACCTTTCACTCTTTTTCTAGCAGTTTCTTAATCCATAAGTGGTTCTTATGAAGAAAACTACATACATTATGCTGCTTGAAGAATACATCAGTTCCACAGAATGCCAAGAAATAGAAGAAGGATATTTAGACAAACTCAACAATAGGATTATAAGATTTAAGTACACCACTTGCTAAACATCTATGACTAGGAAATACCACGATAAAATCACCTGAGATACCAAGGCTATTTTACTACGCTAAAACCCATAAAGCAGGCAAACAAATATGGCCCATTGTGGACAAATCAAGATCCCTAATGCTACCCATTGAGAAGGGTTTACATGAGCTCCTCATAGACCATTTGAAAGAATATAACTACACCATTTCAAACACTCGTGAACTCATTGCTAAATTAAAAAATATTGCTCTAACAGATCAAGAATATTACAGTTCTAGATTTTGAAGCGATGTATCTGTCCATTAAATTGGAACCATGCTTCTGTGCCCTCTTTCAAGCTGTACCACCTAGGTCCAAACACCACAAGCATATTTTAGAGCTAGCCCATCTTATGTGCTACATCTCATTTTTTACCTTCAATCAGCAAATCTATCTTCAAAAAAGAGGGGTTCCAATGGGTAGCACCCTATCTGGAGACCTCTGAATTAGTAGTTAGAAAATTTGATAGCCAGATCCTAGAAAACTTCAACACAGAAATCATACTATACATGCATTATGTCAATGATATTATTTGAAGATCTAAGCCAGATATAGATAGAGTACTACAGGCTGTCAATTACAACCTGTTTGGGCTTAAGTTAAATTTATGTCAACAAGATGATAAAATGGTCCACTTTCTTGACCTCCAAATATACCTGGAATATGGTTGTATAACCCCAAAGATATACCATAAGCCTAATCTACAATCTTTTCTCATCCCCTCAATATCTAATGACCCTTTTACATATAAAATAGCAGCATACAGGGTTCTGATCTGAAGAGCATTTACCCATTGCTCTAACATCAAGGACGCACTATAAGAAATAGAACACATTAAACACATTGCTATAGCCCACGGATACAACAGTAAACTAATAGATAGGATAGCTCACAAGATACATAGTTGCTAGAAACAGAATTAGTAAATCCCAGACCTCTAAAACAGCAAAGAAAATGCATTGTGGTTGATTTTGACCCTAGAATGAGCAAGTGTATAAAATCATAACCAAGAAGGTCAAAGCTGATCTTATATACAAATGCAACCCTTTGATATATAAACTTCTGGCTAATACTAATGATAAATGCAGCAAAGCCAGAAAACCCGAGATATATTCGGTTCCGCTAGAGGACGACAGACTTAATCTGAGCAAAAATTTAACATACATAGGCTCAACCAACAGATCACTTACAAATAGGATAGACGAGCATAAATACAATACACACAATAAAAAGTTTAATACCACCCTAGCCAAATTTGCAATCAAGCCGAATATAACGGTCAAATGGGATGAGGCTAAGATTTTAATACCAATGCTTGATAGTAGCAAACTTAGAACAATAGAAACACTAGAAATCTTTGCGAAATCCCTCAAAGAAAATTGTATTAACAGCAGAGATGCCCGCTTGATCTCCACCGCTTGGCAATCACTCCTAGATAACCCCTTTAAAAAATGGGCTAATCCATCCTCCTCAAACATGTGATGTTCTAATCTCGTCAAATTTGTTGTGAACTTCTTAGCATTTCTCTCAACTTATCTAGACGTCATTTGAATATTTGCTAACTGATGTTCCAATGTTATATAACTTGAAAAACACCATTTAAAATGGCCAAAAAAATTTATTCCCTTATGGATTAAGAAACTGCTAGAAAAACAGTGAAAGGTTTTGTGAAACTGATTTATTTAAGAATATATTTTGTTAGCAAGTTATAAACAGATTTTTACATCATTAATTAGAAAAAAACAGTTTGTTATTTTTTTTCTTAAGTTAAAATTCAAAATAAAATCATTACCCACATTAAGATTAAAATTTTACATTAAAAAAAAAAGTAAGGTTTAAATTTCAGCATAGAAAGAATTATAAACATTTTGAAGACTTGCCCTTGTTGCATTTCTTCTTTAGTGAAACTAGCAGCTTCATCACCCAATTCATGAAGATACATGCAATCCTTTCAAAAAATAAATAAATAAATTTAAATCAAAACTTATTTTGAAAAACAAAAAATATTTAGTTAATACTTGATTTACAAAGATACACCTATTCAAAATTAAACAATATCAATTAAAAATTTTATATTCATAAATANAAGCTTAAGTAACAGCACATGTAAATAAACTGTTGAACCTAAAACGAACAGTACATTCTTAATCAGAAAAGAAAAATAATACACAATAGTAAACTTACACATATATTATGTGATTAATGTTATACAATCTTATTTATTGCAACAACTTAAACTGTTGTGATACTTTGAATTGAACAAAGTCCCTTGATTCTACAACTGCATTTATTCGTGGAACACTTCTTTTTGCAATGACAGCATGTATAGCCTTGCCCTCCACTTTTCAAATTAGCTGCAGCTGCTTCTCTCAGCGATATTTCTTGAGAAGAAATCTCATCTATGGAAAGTAACTTTTCTTTACAAATTATGAACTAATTACGGGTATAAAGCTAGTTGAGGGTACCATTTTTGTTTGCTAATTTATAAAAGTCGGAGTCTTCTATTCCAACAACAACAACCGCCAACACATTTCGGGCATCTGTACAGCCACGTTCAACATCAGGGACTTGTATTCGTATGGTATCACCAATTTTGAACAGAAGGAAACGGTGAAGAATTTGGCGACAGACTGGCGCCTCTGTCAACATCGGCTTCTGAAGTGTCGTTTCGACCTCCACCAAAGCTTATCTGTGCTTGTTAACATACACTAGCGATTGTTCAAATGTATAATAATATAATCAAATATTTGGTCTTTCACCAACGTATTTTGCATGTGTCGACATTCACCGGAAAATATTGACGTTCTCTAATTTCAGTTTTTCACAGTAACACATACACAATGTTAAATCAATGTCTTTATACTCACTGGTTTGGGACACTGTTGATTTTTTAAGAAATGACTACAATATTTTGTTGTTCCTAGAGAAGCTTTTAATGTTCTTCCATCTACATGAATGTTATTAACTACATGTATTGCTCTAAGAGCATCTTCTGCTTTATAATATGTTACATAAGCACTGGCACTTGGACCCTACATTATAAAAATAATTTTTAATATAGACGACAAATACATTTTAAAATAATAAAACAGTTGAATCTCTCACCTGTGAACCTGCATATGATGTACTATGATTTACAACAACTTTATGTATTTTACCAAATTTCCCAAAATAATCATTTTTTTTCAGTACTTCAGGATCAGCTAATCTTGGTGGTAATCCAACCACAAAAACAAGATTTTTCTGAACAACTCTGTAATATATTTAATAAATTTTTGTAATTGAACAATATAATTTAATTCTAAAAAAAAATAAACAATTATTGATATTTTTGAACTAATTTTTTTTTGTTTATTGTAAGAGATGCTAAAACATTTCTTTACATAAAAAAGCATGTTTTTATGCTTTCAAAATTAAATTTTTAAATGTTTGATATGCTTTTGGGCAAAAACTACATAATATATGCCAATTTTAAAATTTACTTTGACAAGCATCTGCATTACAAAGCATTGTGTAAACATATACAATTAAAAGGAAGAACAAATTATGGTAAAAATAATAATGTATTGTCTAATTGTATAATCATTATTTCTTGGCATCAAATTTTCAGGCAGTGGATTTCAAATCTGAATTTCATTGTTCACTTACAAATATAAACAATATCTCAATTTGTTTAAAAAATATTCATTGAATATTAGAATACAGATTTATTTTAATGCCCATTATTGAAAACAAAACATATGGTTTCAAATGAAAAAAATTATAAAAACTAGAATATGCAATAAAAAGTAAGTTTAAATGGAGAGTAGACTATTTATTTTTCTATTCTAAAGTAATTTAATTTCTATGGTGTATTTACATTAATTTTTTTCTATTCATTTTAATGCTCTTAATTTTACATAAAATTCACTACTTTTAGAAAAGCAATTAAAATAAAATTACTTTTTCATATTCTATATAGAAATCACACAGTATTTTCCAACTGTTAAGCTCATAATTAAATTATCCATCCAGGAATATGATAAATTAAGGACAATGCTTCTAATGAAGAATTATGAGTTCTGTAAAAATGAAATTAAGAATTTCCAGTCATATGAAATTAATAAATAATATGAAGTTTGCTGTTTTCTTAGTAAAAATGACAATAAATTTGATTTAGATAATTTTGAATAAAAAAAAAAAAACAAAAAAACTGAACAAAAAACTTTTTTTATAGTATGATTTTGATCATGTAATA